TTTATTTCTGCACAAAAAACAATACCACTGTAGTTCTGCTAAAAACAACGTCAGTCCGATTAGTTCCATTTAAATCATATAAAAGTGACCCAAAAGTATATAAAATTGTTGTAAACATGGCATGAATACTTCATAAACTATATATACGTTTGAGAAGTATCACACTAAAAAAACACTTCCGTGATGATACGTGTTTGTCGCAGTAGGTCATGTTTTCTGTCATGCATGTATATCCATGACGATTTTATGACAGAATCAAGATAGTCATACATGTGCTGTCGTAGAAGTGTTCCATGCCAATACCAAAATTATCATCATGGAAGTGTCCACTTCCATGACGATAAATGACGCGTCATGGAAGTGTTTTCATCAAGTGTTTTTTTGGTTTTCTACTACGTTCCCCATTAGTCTTTTCCTTCTTCTTCTTCTTTCTCAATTGGGATTTGATGTTGTCCCAACTTCAAATGAAGGACCGGTTGGATCCCCCAATTCATACTCCATTTGGGTTGGATCTTGATTATCATTGATCATGTCTGACATGATCAACTCCTAAATGATCAAGCATTCATCAAGTCATAAATGAACTAGAGGTATATGCAAAACATTGAACATGGCATATGCAAAGTTGATCAGGCATGAGCAACAAGGACATAACGAGTCTTGTAATGTCATTCCGCTGAACAGGTCATGGGCAACCCGGGCGCCGCCGGTACCCGTGCTTGTCCGCGCCCGAACCAGCTGCGGCAAGTGACAGACGTCCATCGTCGGAATTCCCCAATCGGCCATCGGATCCTCCTTTGTCCCAACCTGGTCCGACAAAGCGATCCTTGTCGACGACTAGGTGGATGGGTGCGGGGTCCCGGGCGTGGCAGGGGGGTGGAGGGGGGCAGTGGCTCGTCCATGTACGCATCCGCTCCCTGTGACGCCAATGCTTTCATCTCCCGCTGCCTCCATTGCCGGTCCATCCGGGCGACGTTCTTCGGCTTGCAGGATGAAGCCAATGATGGGACGTCGATGGACGAGGCGGACGCAACCTCTGTTGCGGCGGTCGGGGACGGGTTGGACGACATCTAGTACGTCGGATCGGGACAGGCAGCGAGGATGGGGAGCAAGGATGGCGGGCAACAAGGGCTCGGACACGGGAAAGACAGGAGGAGTGGTAATGATATAGTTGATTTGGTGCAATTTGTGGTGAGGTAGGCCTTTCCGGTCCGACGTGGTGGACGCGCCCGGGCTTCCTCATATACGCCCCATTTTGAGGCTGGATATGAGGGATGTCTGTCAGCTCGGGCGTTTGAGACCTGTTTGAGGCGCCCGTCCGGGTCTTTTTATTTTGACCGGGCCATCTGCCTGGTCCTTTGAGGCGGATTTGGGGTGCCTGTTTGTGGATGCTCTAAGGTGGGTCTTTTTCCTATATTTGGGACGCTCGGCTTGGTATATTTGTGTGTTAAGAAAATCAGAGTTAGTTGGGATCAACTATTTTGATATATAGAATTAGAATATATCATAGGAGTTCACTAAAGTATTGACCATTCATACGTTATCCTTTTAACTTGCATTCAATGATACTTGTTCCAAACAATGTACATGCAACTATCGTATAAATTGTAATGCAAAAATAGTTAAATTGAAATTGAGAAAACTTTTAAATGAAATATTTTGGAACACAACTAAGACTATAATTAAAAAAAAGAAATATAGAAGTATTACGTAACTTGAAGTTAAAACAAATGAGATATAATTTACTTATTAACATTTGGGATAGGTCATAGAATTATTTTATACTCCCTCTGTCCCAAAATATAAAAACGTTTTTAACACTACACTAGTGTCAAAAACGTTCTTATATTATGGGACGGGGGGAGTAATAGATTGTGACATGGCGTCCATGTGGCTTATGAGTCAGCTGCCACGTTAGCCTAACATGTGGGCCAAATATATTTTTGGTAAAAAAAAATGGTAAGTCGTGTAATACAACAGAAGTACAGGGTCAAGAGGATAAATTTTCTATACTACTATATAGTGTATCAATTTTGAAAGTTTGAATTCAGGCACTGAAATGCATTTGTGGCCGTTCATTGAGTTGCATCCGACGGCCTAGAGCGCTGGGATTCGCAGCTACAGTAGCATTCGGTGTTAACTGGGTCGTTCCAGAAACATCCACAGAGTTAGCACTGACTCACGGACCTCGCTATATGTTTTTTTTTGTTTCTTATATAAGGAGCACCCATCCACGGGTTAGCACCAGTTACGGACCCCACTGCATGTCTGTTTCAGGAGCCTAAGTCACCACGCTACAGTCGCATCCCTTAGAGTTGTGAAAATTGTTTTACTAAAGCAGAAAACATCATATGTACATGGCATGTGGCAGGAGAAATAAGTAGCCCCGTACTACCAAGTCTGACAAGCAGTGAAAATATATAGAATTAAACAAATCAAACCGGTGCATTGCGCACATAACTCGCGTGCATTTTTGGGTGGAAGCTAAAATATTCCTTTAGTAAAAAATAGCAACGGGTATCCCAATTTTGTGAAAATGACATATTTTCTTTGCATATGATAGCTACTGTGTATGAACATAAGAAGCTTTCTTATGCTAACTACAAGTATTTTTGTTTCTCATTTTCTACATGCACAATGTTCATTTGTCTTGAATCATTTCTCCGGGCACTCAATGACTTAATTTCTGGGGCCAAAATCACACCGTAACATAAAGACGCGCAATGCACATGCAAGCATACTAGTACACTTAAAATCATGTAACTGACACTCTGCAACTATTCGGAGGTAAAAGTCGATTCTACCTGTAAAACCTAGCCCAGTACTTGGGGCCACGTTTCACTGAATTTTGACAAGCCAAGCCTGCTCTGCTGCTGCCAAGGTGCCCTTTGATTCGAAACGTAAATCAACCAGCTGGGGCAGCAACTGTACCGGCACACCAATGGCTGCTCAACAACTCAAGCATATGAACAGAGTCCCCATATGCTCAGGGTACATATCCAGCAGTGGGAATCCTGCTGCCATGCCATGAAGCCCAAAAAAGCACTGTGCCCATAAACAAGCCACAGTGCCCCTGCTCCAATGGCCGAGACCCAAAGGCTGGACGACCTCAACTCACCCATGAGCTGCACAAAGGCATCGCGCTTTGCAGCATCATCACCAGATAAATAAAAGAAAGAAAAGAATTCCGTCTCCGGTCGATCGATCCCCTCTCCCTTATCCGCCATCACGCGTCCGTGCATGAGCCACGGCGACGACGACGATTCAATTCATGCGCCCCGTCACCGGATCGCATTGATCGCAGCGGCGCTCTTTCTTTTCCGGAGATTTGGTCCGTTTCTTTTTGGCCGGATGGAGACAAGTCCGCGGATCGCCGCGATGAGCTCTTTTGGCCTGTCGATCGTCCGTTTCGGTCCCGTCGCGTACTCGCGTACAGCTAGCACAGCACAGCGGCCGGTCCGTTCCGCGTACCAAGAAGCGCGTGTGCGTGTGTGCTTCCGTCCGTGGGATAATGCCTGAATATTTCATGTCGTGCGCGTTAGGTGCCCACAGCCCACTCACACTTCTCTATACTGTTTGTTTATTAGGAGTACAGTACGTACGAACGTACGATCAATTTCAGAAGGAGAGTTACTACCACTTATTACCACACGGTTCGGTTCTTTGCAGTACTAGTTGAGGATCATCATTTTCTTAACAAGCCTAGATTTGGCACCTCTTAACTGTACGTATCTGTGTTGTGTGTTGAAGGGGGTCACTGGAACAAAGCATGTGACGGTCGAATCTATGCCTTGTGATCTCTACTCTGCTCTGCTCAGCCAGCTAGGGTACGCAAAAGCAGGGGGGCTTTTGAACATCAGATTTGGCGCTGCCGTCTTTTTGAACAGCACGCCAAGAATCAGGAGGCATATCTATCTATCTATCTATCTATCTATCTATCTATCTATCTTGGCATATGGGGAGCTAGTATTCCTACATAAGCCATCTATATTGTAGCATGCAACTTGCGGTGCAAAATCTGTTAAATATACTTCCACTCCGAATCATTTCCTTCATAGTACTAGGCATCCGATCTGCTGCATGTACGAATGTATTGTCCCATTGCACGATCTAGATGGTCCTCCATCCATCGACATTCCTGGTACGTGCTGGGAGTACAGAGTACTACGTAGCTAGGGTACCTGCCTCAGCTCTCCCGAGAGAGAACCAATACCTGCACGGGTGTCGTGTGCACCGTGCCACTGTCTGCGCCAGAAACGAGGACAGGTAAACACATCAATTCCACTATATTTTAGGGGTCATCAAGTAGTTATCCCGTCGTGTGGCTGTGGTTTTAGCTGTCGAAACAAGCTCCTCACTGATAAGTCTTCCAGAAAAACAGAAAAGAACTCACCAATATAGACAAAGCAGTACTACATCTCAGTCAAAACTTGGGTCAGGAAACAACTTATATCTATCTATCTGAACGTCTCTGCTTCAGTCAATCCACAACACAAAAACAACAATATATTGTTGACCTGGAAGCTGACCTCTGGTTGCGATTTCCAGCAAAGCAGAACAAAAACACACATGGACCTGCCCAACAATTCGAGCAAGTCAGTCCATATCCATATCCAGACGCCATCTGATGCATGTGTGTGCACACGCCTTTTGGCCCTCCCAACTCAGCAGCTCCTCACACGATCGCGGGCGGCACTGCACAGTGCACACCTGCACTGCGCTGCCACTATGGACCGATATCGACCCCGAAATTCCGATGTGAAAGTGAAGGCCACTAGCTCAATGCCCCTTTCGGCATTCGTCCGTCCACAAGAGAGGGCAGGCGGAGTCATCGCCGTGCTGTGCTCCGCCGCCTATAAATAATGCCCCGACCACCAACATGGCATTTACCTACGCAGCACAGCACAGCAGAGCAGAGCTCGTCATTCAGCTAAACTAGCGGTGACTGACTGGCTGCGAGCACGAGTGCTGCTACCTAACCCGGTTGACCCCTAGAAAGCATGGACGTTGAGAGCTCCACGGCGCATGAGGTCTCCGTCGACTGGCGGGGCCGCCCGTGCGAGCCGGGCCGGCACGGCGGCATGCGCGCAGCCGTCTTCGTCCTAGGTACGTAGTACTCCTACCTACATCAAGTTAGTTCGTTATACGGACGAGCCATAGAGCAATGTCTATTGTCTATCCAATCTATGGCGCGCGTGCTGATTGGTGAGGCTGATGTGCAGGGATCCAGGCGTTCGAGATCATGGCGATCGCGGCGGTGGGGAACAACCTCATCACGTACGTGTTCGGGGAGATGCACTTCCCGCTGTCGGAGGCGGCCAACGTAGTGACCAACTTCGTGGGCACCATCTTCCTCCTCTCCCTCCTCGGCGGCTTCCTCTCCGACTCCTACCTCGGCTGCTTCTGGACCATGCTCACCTTCGGCTTCGTCGAGCTCTCGGTACTCCTCACTATGCTTCCTCACAATCTATATACTCCTAGCACTACAAACTCGACTAGGAAGGAGTGGCTAGCAGTGACCCCACCAACGGGTGGCCTGCGCGTGTTCCATTCAAGACAAGAAGATGAGGAAGATGGAACGTGTGAGAGTGTTTTTCCTTTGTGACCGACCGATTGACTGTTGTTTTCACGAAAAGGGAGATGAACTTGGATGGGCCAGATAAAAAAGCCCCTATCACCATGCATGGACCCGGTTTGGGGGCCAGGTTGAATTCAACGCACGCAGCATGGCCGGGGACTAACGATATGATAATCATTTGTTTTCTCTGAAAGAAAAGCGACTAGAACTACACACGCCAATGGAAATTTGTTTGTTGTTGTTTTGGGGGCTTGCCTGAAAACAACATGTCCCAAGAAAGTTGTGCTAGTGTTACTTGCCTACTTTCAACTATCCTAGGCACTTCTTGCTTTTACTAGTAGCAGACAACGTTTGTAATTTACCCTAAAACCCTGGATTTAACAGAAATAGAAATATGAAATCGAAGAATCGAAACAGTAAAGAAAAAACTATTTTCATTCCGAATATATATAAAATCGGAAATAGTATGTTTTGCCTGGATTTTTACTAGTGTGTTTTGTCAACAGGGCTTCATACTACTGTCAGTGCAAGCACACCTTCCGCAGCTGAAGCCGCCGCCGTGCAACATGGCGTCCATGGACGGCAGCTGCGAGCAGGCCAGGGGCTTCAAGTCCAGCATCTTCTTCGTCGCGCTCTACCTGGTGGCGCTCGGCAGCGGCTGCCTCAAGCCCAACATGATCGCGCACGGCGGCGACCAGTTCTCCAGCTCCGGCGGGTCCGACAATGCCAAGAGCCTCTCCACCTACTTCAACTCCGCCTACTTCAGCTTCTGCCTCGGCGAGCTCGTCGCCCTCACGGCGCTCGTCTGGGTGCAGACGCACTCCGGGATGGACGTCGGCTTCGGCATCTCCGCCGCCGCCATGGCCGCCGGGCTCATCAGCCTCGTGTCCGGCGCGGCCTTCTACCGGAACAAACCTCCTCAGGGCAGCATCTTCACTCCTATTGCAAGGGTAACAATAATCTTCACTTCACTATAGTAATTAAGTCAGTAATAACTCAATGATTGTAAAGACGGACGTGTTGATTGTATTTTTTCCTACAAAAAAATTGTGTTCTGACAAACTTTGCGCATTCAAAAATTGGAAGAAGTTTGCACCGTTAGGTTAGTGGCAGGTTGCTGTATGACAGTATGTCAAACATCTCCTTTCTGCTAAAAAAATCCTTTTCAGAAATTTCCAAGACACTGCAGTATATGCAAGAACTTTTGACAAGACAAATGATCTGATCACATTACTATATCCCCCCTCTAGCTAGTACTCTATGATTAGATTAGCTATTCTTGAAATAGTAGGTAGATTTAGTTTCGTCATCATTCAGTCAGTCAGCTATTCTTGCATTATGCTCACCTTGTCACATTCAACAGTTCTAGAATTTGGGGCCATATGATAGGTAGTACAAGTAGTTTACATATTTGCTTGCCGATCAGATCTAGTCAGATACACCTAGGGAAGCTAGAAACGATGTGCTCTCTGCAAGTTGTGTCTGCGGTGCAGTTCTTAAAGGTTTGTGACTTATTGACTGTTAGGATGTCAGTTCTGCGTGCAGCTATGGTTTTGGTCCTGCTGATAACGACAGAACTGACTGCGGATTATGTGTGCTGAATCACGTGTGCTGATGTGCAATGTGTGCACTTGCATTATTCAGCATTGGTTCGAGATGACAAGCTCTCTCTGTGCAAACAATGATAAAATATTGGGCCGTGCTTTATGCTGTTTTTGTCAAATGAGATTAAGACCATTTTGACACAGAAATGTACATTTGGACCTTCATTTGTTTATTGTCAACCAAGATACAGTTGCGTGGCAATAACATTTACATCAGATTTGCTATTTGCAGCTGATCCTGACTAACTTGTAGTGACATGCTAGTAAAAAATATGCTGCAGAGTCCTGCTGTTTCCTTGAAAGAAAGAAAAAACTGACAAGTTGGTGCGAACTGCTAAATTCTGCAGGTGTTCGTCGCCTCCTTCTCCAAGAGGAAGCAGGTCTGCCCTACCAATCCTGGCAACGTCGGAATTGGCGAGCCGGCACGCCTCGCCGGCAGCTTCCGCCACGGCAACAAGTTCAGGTGGAGCCGCCGCATCCATCGTTCTGGTGAGCAGATTGCTCTGAGTTAGTTGTTCTGCGGCCTGACTGACATGCTGTGAAACCATGCACGCAGGTTCTTAGACAAGGCGTGCGTCAGGGACGCGGAGCAGGGGGGCAACACGAAGCCGGAGAGCCCGTGGCGGCTGTGCACGGTGTCGGAGGTGCAGCAGGCCAAGACCCTCCTCGCCGTGACGCCCATCTTCGCCTGCACCATCGTGTTCAACACCGTGCTCGCGCAGCTGCAGACCTTCTCGGTGCAGCAGGGCAGCGCCATGGACACCGTCCTCGGGGGCGCCTTCCGCGTCCCGCCGGCGTCGCTGCAGGCCATCCCCTACGCCATGCTCCTCCTGCTCGTCCCGGCGTACGAGCTCCTGCTCGTGCCCTTCATGAAGCGGCTCACGGGGACGCGCTCCGGGATCACCCCGCTGCAGCGCATCGGGGTCGGCCTCGGCACCGTCGCCTTCTCCATGGTCGCCGCCGCCACCGTCGAGCGCCGGCGCCGCGACCTGTCGGCGTCCGGGGCGCGGATGTCCGTGCTGTGGATCGTGCCGCAGTTCCTCGTGTTCGGGGTGTCGGAGATGTTCACCGCCGTGGGGCTCATCGAGTTCTTCTACAAGCAGGCCTGCGCCGGCATGCAGTCCTTCCTCACCGCGCTCACCTACTGCTCCTACGCCTTCGGCTTCTACCTCAGCTCCGTGCTGGTGACGACGGTGAACAGGGTCACGGCGAGGCACGGCGGCGCCGGCTGGCTCGGCGACAACGACCTCAACAAGGACAGGCTGGACCTCTTCTACTGGATGCTGGCTGCGCTCAGCGTGCTCAACTTCTTCTGCTACCTGGTATGTGCAAGGTGGTACAACTCTGGTGCCGATGGCTCTGATGCTGCCTCAGCTCAGATTGCAGCAGAGGGTGATGCCAAGGAGATCAGCTGAAGACCTACATGGAGATTGAACCTGTATATGCGTATAGATATATGTAGAAATGCATGAAAAATAGTGATGGGGAAAGAAGTGCTAGGTTAAGAAGAAGGTTTCCTTTGATAAGGAATAGAAAGTACATTAGCATGGCTAAGGAAGTACATTAGCATATGTATGCTAGTTCTACCACAAAGCATAGTCTTCAGTAAACTTATTTCGCCATGATCATCGCGAAGGTGGTACAATCGCCAAGAGCATCGTCGACTTTAGGCCCATTAGCCTTATCCATGCAATCGCCAAGATCATCGCGAAGGTGCTCGCTATCCGGCTTGGCCCGCACATGTCCGCCCTCGTCTTCAACGCTCAAAGTGCGTTCATCAAAACGCGGAGCCTCCACGACAACTTCATGTATGTTAGAAACCTTGTGCGACGCTTGCACACGAGCAAGACTCGCTCTCTCCTATTCAAGTTGGACATCCGCAAGGCATTTGACTCTATCAAATGGGAGTACTTGCTTGACCTCCTACGGAGGCGAGGTTTCCAAAGCAAATTTTGAGAGTGGATTGCGGCTCTGCTATGCTCCTCATCTTCGAGGATCCTCTTGAATGGGGTAGCTGGTACCGCCATCAAGCATGGCCAGGGACTATGGCAAGGGGACCCCGTCTCTCCCCTCCTTTTTGTGATAGCTATTGACACATTGAAGCAAATCCTTGATGTGGCGACAAGGAAGGGCCTTATTCACAAGGTCCGAGGGAGAGGGGTCATGGCGCGAACGTCTCTTTATGCGGATGATGCGGCTGTGTTTGTAGCGCCAATCAAAAGAGATGTGGACAACCTCGGGGCCATTCTGCGAGGTTTTGGCGAAGTCACCGGCCTTTGCACCAACTTCCATAAGAGCTCAATGGTCCCCATTCGGTGCAACAACCTTGACTTGGGCCACATCACGCAAGGGTTACTGGCTGTCAGGGCTTCCTTTCCGCTCCGCTACCTGGGACTCCCGCTATATGTGTGGAAGCTGAAGCTCGCCGACCTACAATTTCTTGTCGATAAAGTGGCAAGTAGACTGACTACATATGACGGCCAAAACATCACCACCATTGGCCGCGCGGCCCTTGTTAAGTCGGTCCTCGCTTCCCAAGTGATCTACTTCATCACGTCACTTGTCATACAACCCACCATTCTGCAAAACATCGACAAGCTTGAGCGGGCCTTCCTATGGCCGGGGTCGGATACGACATCCGTGGCAAAGTGCAAGGTCAATTGGGATGTTGTCAGCCGGCCGCTCGCCTATGGTGGACTCAAGGTCCTCAACACCAACAAGTTTGCGCGGGCTTTGCATTTGCGGTGGCCTTGGTACGAGTGGAAGGAGCCCACACAGTTGTAGGTCGGGAGTGGGAACCCGTGCGATGAGGAGGACCTCAACTTTTTCTACGCATGTACCACCATCACGGTTGGGAACGGTGCGAAGACTCCATTTTGGGACTCCCCTTGGCTCCTTGGTCGCAAGCCCAAAGACATTGCTCCGCTCATTTACGAGACTTCCTCTCGGAAGCACAGGAAGGTATGGGAGGCCCTCAAGGACAACGCGTGGATCCTCAAAATCAGACCGCCCGCATCGGTTTCCATCGAGCATGTTGCGCAATTCTTCATCCTTTGGACGCTACTGCACGAGGTGCACCTGGATGAGCTCACCGAGGATGACATCCTATGGAAGCACACGGAATCTGGGCACTACTCCGCGGCCTCCGCTTACAGGGCACAATTTTTGGGCTTGGTCCTCTCCTCCATGGACCAAATGGTCTGGAAGGCTTGGGCCCACCAAAAGTAAAATTCTTTGCTTGCCTCGCGCTTCAGGATAGGATCTGGACTACTGACAGATTGGAGAAGCGAGGATGGCCTAACTGTGGCCCTTGCCCCTTGTGCCGACGGGTGCAGGAATGTGGCCCTCATCTTTTCTTCATATGCCGCTTCACTCTCAGGCTTTGGAACAAGGCTATTCAAAAATTTCGCATCCACGACATGGACACGTCCACATGGCACCTGTTTAACTCCGTTCATGCCTGCTGGGCGAGCACATGCACCACGGGCACCACCGACAGAAAAGCAAAGGCATCGATTACCATGCTAGTGTCATGAGTCATCTGGAATGAGCGCAACGCAAGAGTGTTCAGGCAAAAGAGCGCGCCTCCGCAAATCTTGCTCAGCATCATTGAAGACGAGGCAAACCTTTGGATCAAAGCTGGGGCAAAGAAACTAGGGTCTTTTTTATTGCGAGAATAATTATCATGCCGTAATTTGGGTGTGTGTTGTAACAAACTCTTTCTCCTCCTTATTTAATATATGAGACAAAAATTTTGCCTCCGTTTCAAAAAAAAAGTAAACTTATTTCAGACACCGGTGGTCAACATGGAAATATGCAATGGAATAGTGAATTAAGCAACAGATAGGATGTTGATAATATAATGGCCGAGCACAAACCTCCCTTGGCATGAAACAAGAGAAAACCAAATTTCAGAACACATAATGCATGCAAGATGTACATATTCAAAACAAAATCTTGTTCAGGTCTTCACTATGCTCGATAAGTACCACGAGCAGTTACGAAGTTTCCAGGAAGCAAAGCATACAGAATTCATACATGCTGCAAATTTTGTCCAAGGACACCATCTTACAGAATGATGCAACTGCTGCCAGATTTGGCCTCTTCTTCAGCCTTCTTCAGGCTATCCTTCAGTGCACGAATCTCTTCCCTCAAGTTATTCTCCACGGCATGCCTTTCTTTCTGCTCTTCGTGAAGCTGGTTTTCCATCCTTGCAATTGTACTGTTTAACTTTTCCTCCATCTATGAAGACAGGTTCTAAATCGTAGCTAATAATCCACTAAAGTATCAAAACAATAAGAAAGATAGTAGTACTTCTCAGCTGATCAGTGATGGATCCTAATTATAACGGATGTATTTAAAAGTTAGAGGCTTGCTTCGGTAGACCCCCCTCACAAATCGTATAAGGACAACATGGTCATTTGAACATAAGGTATACCAACCTCGGTATGTGACACGTACGAGCGTAGGCGTACACAACCAATCCAAATCCCTCCCTCCTGGGCTTGGCCCATTTTTTTACTTTTTAACCCGTCAAAAAAGCATATACATGAGGTAGGGTTTGAACTCCAAACCTCTTGATTTTACTTCCACCCACGGTAACCAACTGGGAGAACTAACTTCTTGTGCTGGTTATTTCTTTTACTCGACCTGAGTGCTGGTATGATCATCGATGGATCCCCTTCCCTCCTCCTCCCCATCTCGCCCCAGTCGCCCAGCCCCCCTCCCCCGTTCGCCGGTCGTGGTTCGGCCTTCCTCCTCCCCTCTCGCCGGTGCTCTCTCCCTCCCCTCCCCTGCCTGCTCGCCGGTGGTGCTCTCGCCGCGGCCTTCTCCGCTGCCTGCGCTTGGATCTCGTTTCTGGGCCCTCGCGTCCGATGAGGAGGAATTGCGGTCGGCTGCCTCCTCCCCCCGATGCCCTTCGGCCTGCCCTGGGGGGGTGGCGCCACCCCTCGTCGCTCCCCGCTCCCGTAAGTTTGCCCCTAGTGGCCGGGGTCGGTCGGTGGCTGCGGCATAGCCTGACGCTGGCTGGATCCGGGTTTCTCGCCGTCGGCGCAAGTCTGGTAAGTTTTCCGTTGCCTCTCCTGATCCTGGGATCCTGGACGGTGCTCCTGATGGGGAGCTCGGAGGCTCTCCATCCCTCTCTCCTGCTCTCTCCTCGGCTGCCTTGTCGCCGGCGGCGGTGGTGGCGCTGGCGTCGTGTGCCCTAGATCTCGATTTCGCCTCGGTGGCCAGTGGGACACGGGCCGGTCCCCCGCTTGGGCCTGTTGGGCCTTTTGCTTTGGCGCTGCCCAGTGGGCCTACTCTTCCAACCCCTCTCTCTTCAGTGGATGAATTCCCCCCACTTGTCTCTTCCGGCCCAGTTAGGCCCCTCGGTCTGGTCCCTGCTCCCCAACCCTCTTCGGCCCATCTTACGCGTCGGGCCCAGGTGGGCACGGCTCGGTCGGGCTATATATGGATACCCCGTGGCTCGTTTCCCCCTTTTCTAGGGTTTTCGGCTTCCTCTTCCGATCTGCGCCGTCACCGTCTCCCCATTCGTCGCCTCGTCAGATCTAGCCCTCCTCCTCCCCTTCTCCTCCCTTTCACTGCGGTGCTCGCCATGGATAAGTTGCGGGGTTCTTCCTACAAGGCGGTCTCGGGCAGCAAGCGTCGCCGTGAGGACTCCCCTGCTTTTGCGGTGGATCTGGAGCTCGAGGCTTCGCTCCGCTCCAAGCTGGAGGCGGAGCAGGCGGTGCGCGAGCAGGTGGCTCGTGACCGCGCGGCCTGGGCTGCGGGTCCGGAGTGGATGCAACGCTCGAAACGGGAGCGCGCGCCTGGGTCTGGTCCGCAAGGATCTGGATCTGGCCCCTCCCTCTCTCCGGCACTGGACCCGTGGGAGGCGGCGGCGGCCTCCGGTGGTGGGGTTTCTTCTTCGTCTGGCTCCCTGCCTGCCTCCGGCGTAGGGCTTAGCTCGTCTGCTCCGACGCGTTTCCCCCCTCCTCCTCGCCCGGCTGGTGTCGGTGCTGGATCTCGTCCGCTGCCCCGGTCCTTCGCAGAGCCGGTGCGTCGCCCCCCTCCCCCCCAGCCCATCCTCTGGGGTGCCTCCCTCTTCGGGGGTGGGTGACGGGCTGCTTCCTCCTCCCTCGTCGCTTCCGCAACCCCTCCCCTCCTCTACTTCCCAAAGCAACCCCTCTGCGCTCACTTGCTTCGCTTGCCACAAGCCTGGCCATTTCCAATCTCGATGCACCAACCCACCGTTCTGCTTGATCTGTCGCTCCGATGGTCACCTCACGGTCAACTGCATGAATAGGCAGAAGCCTCCCTCGGTTCTTCAGTTTGGCTTGGGCCTCCCCGGTTGCGCCTTCTTCGCTTTCGATAGTGATATGCCTGTCCTGGAAATGGCGCCCGCTCTTTCCAATGCTGCGATTGTTACGGTGAA